AGTTCCAGATTTTAATAATTTTTTCAGACTGCGAGAGAAAAACAGGGAAATATCAGCTTACTTATATCCTTATTTACATAATCTAACCTGGCTTATTGAGAATCAAGGATGTATAAAACCAAAGCAAAGACCTATGAGTGTGTTATCCATTATTGATACTAAATCACGCTGGTAACATTGTCAAAAATGGTTGATGTCAAAATACACAAATATTAAGAATTCAAATATATAATTAGAATGTTTATATTTTGCAATGATTCCTGTAAGGTACATTGTTAAAATGTATATGAATATCATAAATCAGAGAAGAAAATTATTTTGAAGTTAAGAATATATGATTACCTAGTACTTTAAGTTAAAATAACATAGCAAACAAATGTTAATGTAGAAGTCAAACAACAAAAATCAGCATTATATTTGCAAATTTTCACTCTGTGAAAATTTGCAAATAACATTTCTTTTTGAGAACATTACTTCTTGAGAGTTTAAAAGTTGTCAGCAAGCATATTACGTCTGTAGTAGATTTGGCAAGCACTTTTGACTAGTTTCTTACTTAAAACTTTGAGATTAGCAAGGAAGAAATTATCAAAATGAAGTTTCAGAAATATGTTACATCCTGTGTTTTCATAATTTAATCCATTCTGTTTTGGAATTGTTTGTTTGCAGATCTAAGAAAATTTTGCAGAAGTTCTTGTGAAAATATTGTTTAGAACTTCTTGAAATCAATTTCAAACTGAATCAATTCAGTTTTTGATTGTTTTTCTGATGCAGTATTTATTTCTTAATTGGTTTTCTAATAAGTTATCTTTTTTTATTTTTATCATTATTTATGTCAGGAAATTTTTTCCTTTGTTATATAAGCCTAACCGTTTGTAACTAGTATCGTATTTAAAATCTTCTTTAAATCCTAGCTAAATTTGTAATGGAGGAAAGGCAAGTTTAGTTTTTCGGGAACTAGCATATGCCAATTCAGTTCGGGTAGTAAACTAAATGCACTGACTCCAGTAGTTTGTGAAATAGATGTTTGAGTAAAAACTTAATGAATATTTATTCAAATGTTGTGAGATCGTAAACACCAAATTTCTTCATTGGTATAATATTGGGTCGATCCATAAATTCGTACGCATTGTTTGGTAAATTTTTAAATAATACAGTCAAAAGTCGTTAATCTGGACTCGTCGGGACTTCGGCGATTCCGGATTATTGATTTTTCCGGATTATAGATCATCAGTTTAAATCTGGTAAGATGGCATGCAGAAATTATACAAATTAAAAATATGAAATAAAGAGCAATTATGACCTAAAGGGTATCAAAATTTACAAAACAAAACTTAATATTTATTTGTTTACTTTATTAAACAATTCTTTTCAATGTAAGTTGTTTAAGTTGCTTCTTTATGTGTGTGTGTGTGTGCTAATACTTTCTCTTTAATTCTATAAACAGACATTCTTGTTATGTTCCACTGTTCAAGTCCTGTAATTGCTTGTGTCGAGAATACCTACTAATTTGTCAATCGAAATTTTTTCGTTTTCAATAACCTCTGTGTCACTTTCTTCATTATCGGAAATGAATTATAATGACGAGGAATTTGATTTAAATCATATCAAAGACGGAGTACATTGAGATGAAATACTACATTTAGTAAGGAATTATAAGCCAAATAAAATTAAAACTTCTGCTCTGAAGATAAGGATAGTGCTGACAGATCAACTTCCAATTCATTGCGTGCTGTGGCGTCAATGCGACGCATGTGCAGAAAGTTTGTAGCTTTGAGGTCCGGATTATAGATCATTCAATTCCCGGATTATGGGTGTCCGAATTAATGACTTTTGACTGTATAAAAACAATATTTAACATTTTAATCAATTATATATTTTCCTCCATTATCTACGATGTCTTGCTATCTTACAGGCAGCTTTTCTATGCCATTGCTGTAGAAAGACTCTGGTTTTGATGCAAAAAAACTTGAAAGTTCATTGTGTCCTGTTTAGAATTTAAGTTTTTTCCCTGTAAAAATTTTTGTAAGGCACGAAATAAGTGAAAATCACTTCGGGCAATATCTGGGGAGAAAGCAGGATGTGGCCAAAGCTCCCAATTAAATTCACTAATTTTTTGCAGTGTTGTTCAAGCTGTATGCGGTCTAGCATTATCATGATGAAACAACACTTTCTTGATATTCAACCAATCGTGAGTATTTTTTTGATCAATTCTGAGTTTAGACAGCAAAGTTGTTCACTATAACCTTCTGAATTAATCGTTTGATTTGGTACTAACAGTTCAAAACATCCTGAATGGGGTTCATCATCAATGCTGCTTTTACCAATTTAAAATTTTTTAAACCATTTCTGGACAGCCCTTACACTAATAGTGTGTTCACCATGTACACTATTAATTTTTATCGCTGCAAACCTGGCAGGTTCATTACAAGAAAATAAAAAATGTAGCACAGCACGTTAGTACTGATTATCTATATTCGTCTTCTAAGATACTAAAATGCGTTTGATATTTACAAAAGTTGGTGATGAACTGAATAATATGTTAGTCAAACGATGACATAGTAAATTCCATGCATACTCTTAATGCTCACGAACTTATGGACTGACACGATAGAATATTAACTTTTTTCATTTCTTCTTACTAGTGGTTTTTTTTTTTTTTTTTTTTTGTTCAAGTTTAAATGGTGTCAGATAAAAATATGACAAAAAAAAAATCTCTTCTCTGATGTTTTAGTTTTTGCAGTATAGTCTTGAATCTGTCTGATTTGTGATTTAGTCTCAATTTAACACAGGAGTGCGCACGCCCTTTTGTGTTGCACGAGCGAAGACCCGGCTCGTGTTTTTTGAAGAAAAAACTGTTACTCTTTAGGTAAAAGTGTTACATTTATACCAAAATATTATGACCAAACTTAAAAAATATGGAAATTATAAAAAATAAAATATGTATGTATATAAATTAATAAAAAATATTATATAATTTAAAATTAAAATTTTAATTATATAATATTTTTTATGAAATAAATTTTTTTTGAAGGAATAGAAGAACTTATTATATTAATATAGAATTTATTATATTACAGTCAAAAGTCTTTAATCCGGAATGATCTATAATCCGGATCTCAAAGCTACAAACTATCTGCGCATGCGTCAACACATAATGCATTGATGCATACACATATCTTTACGCATGCACATAATACATTTACGCATGCACGTTTAATGCATAACCGACGGTATAAGCTAAGCTAAAATTATCTAATCTATTTTAGTTAATGTTGCAGATTGTGTTGTTCCTTAATCTTCTAATTGGATCCGGCTTATTATTTTTTGCAGACAGTTAGAGCAATTTTATAAAAGTAAGCTTGAACTTTTGATTATGTCAAAAAGAATTTCCGATTCTGGAGTTACCAAAGCATCTACAAAGCGAAAGCATGTTTCGATGTCCATCAAACAAAAAGTGGAATTGCTGCAAAAAATGGATAAAGGCATATGCTTTGATTCTCTAATCATTCCGAAATATGTTTATCAATTTCAAGCTGCTCTGCGACGTGGCGCGCAATGAACTGGAAGTTTATCTGTCAGCACTATCCTTATCTTCAGGGCAGATGTTTTTATTTTTTATTCGGCTTATAATTCCTTACTAAATGTAGTATTTCATCTTGATGTACTCCGTCTTTGATATGACTTAAATCAAATTCCTCGTCATTATAAATATCACGAATACACATCAAATAGTTTTCTGGTTGTAATTTTCTAATTTGGACTATGCGTAATGTATGCTTTACGCATGCGCTCATTGAAAGACATGTTTAATAAAGTAAACAAATAAATATAAAGCTTTTTTTTTTTTGTAAATTTTGATACCCTTTAAATCATAATTGCTCTTTATTTCATAAATTACGATTTCATATTTTTAATTTTTAATTTATGCATTCCATCTTACCAGATTTAAACTGATGATCTATAATCCAGAAAAACCAATAATCCGGAATCACCGAAGTCCCTACGAGTCCGGATTAAAGACTTTTGACTGAATTATTCAGTTTATTCAGGAATTATTATTCGGATTTATTAGGCATATACTGCCTGAAAGAATATCTTCCTCGGAAAGCTTGAAGTTTTTCATCAGTTGTTATGAACTCACCGACAGTGTAATATTTCTAGTAGTTATTCACAAAATCTTCAAAAAACTCTTTTATAGGTGCAAGTTTATCCGATTCTTTCTCGACGACGCGAGTTCTTATGTTATCAAAAGACAAACACGTGCCTGTCCTCTTCGTTCCTACCACTTCTGTTGTGGGGATTCTTGAATGATTGGGTCTGTGGAGAAACGATATAGTCTCTGCCTGAATTAAAAGCAAGCAGAACATGCCATATTGCTGCAGTTCCTCAAAAAATCCTTTGGATTATTCTTGAACACTCAGATGGAACACATATTGAGCATATGTGATTCAATAAAAGTTTTATGTTTTTTATTCCTTACGCAAACTTTTTCCCCTTGGTGTTGAAATTTGAATTATTTTTTATTGTAAATTTCTTTTACCCATGGTCTAGTATGTACTTGATTCTAACGAAATACATCATCCAAAATGGACCCTACATTGATCTCAATAGGGTCACTTTACCACCCTCCCCATATATCATGGCTACCTGTTTTAAGAGGGGTACCTTCAATAGAGGACGTCCGTAGGGAAACTGACTCACATTTCCTTTGCATATGGATAAATTTTGATTTTCTGCATATATTCGTATCCTACCAGTTGTCAAAGTGAAGTAAAACAGTGCAATTAGTAAGCTGTATTTGTGTTTTGTTTTGTTTTTCAAGTTTGTATTAAACGATTTGGAGAAGGTGAGTTTTAAGGAAAGTAATTTTATAATATTGAGCTTATGGTGTATGTTTTTTGAATAAATTTTAAATGCATTAATAGTTTTCTAGTTTCATGTTATTAGTAATTTTTTGCAAATTGTTTTCTAATTTGGTAATTCAGGACTTTTTATTTCAGGCTCAAATGTATGGAATGTTTCAGTATATCTTTTTTGGAGAAGACAAAAATTGTAAGCATACTGAATTTTTTATATTGCAGTTATATTAAGTTTAATATTCCAGTTTTTAATTTTCCAACTTATTTTCTGTTTCAGCGGAAGAAATTGATTCCCTAGAGTCTGATAGTGAAAATGGAAGTGATTGTGAGCATCTTCAAGGTAGTTAATTATAGATCAGTTTCATTGTTTACACTTAAGTTATTAAAATTTTCTTTCTGTGTAAAGCTATTGTTTTGTAATATATTTTATTTGCTTTATTATAGGTTTTGGAGATAAAAATAACATTAGATGTAAATATCTAATTAAATTTTTCCTTAATTTCTCTAAGGAGAATATTGGCTGAATGCTAAATATAGATTTGAGATTCTATCTTATCCTCCCTTCATGAAGAATATAGTTGTAACTAAATAATAAATTTATGGTATAATAGTTACAACTCTTAGTAATATTTTCAGTGCATATTTGAAAGGCATGCATAATGGACTTCTTTAGCATCATTTGATTGATAAATCATAGATTGTAGGAGCCAGAATTATGTGTTTTTCTGTCTCTGACTTAACAAGTAGTCATGGATTTTATGGGCAGTAGCACCAGGAGTATACTGCTTATACTTTATTTACTCATACAGGGAGGTTAAAAATATGCAGCTAAAGGGAAGCAGCTATTTAAAGCATGTACGGAGAATGATTCCTGAATATCTGTATTCAACAGCTACTCTGTTTCTGTCTGCAGTCGCATAGGCAAAAAGCATGTTTTTGTAGTAATGTGTACTGCTCAGTATTTGCATGCATTATACCAGCAAAACGTTTTTATTTACTATTCAACAGCATCCTGTACCACCTCAGTGTGCCATTTATGCAAGCAAATTCCATTATAAAAGCTGCTTGTTTTGGCTCCCTTTAAATTTTTGTCAGAGATATTTTTTATATTTATCTTGTTATGCTAATTTTATCTCTTGAAAATTGAAAGGAAAAAAAACATGTGGTGTATACCATTTTTGAAGGAAGGAGTTAAAGGATGAATGGTATTTTCTAATAATATGCACCTCTAGTTTCAACATTTGGTAGAATATTTATTTGACATTTTTTTTAGTATACACATGACATTAGCCAACCCAACACATGTGAGTATGCTTACTAGCAACCCTTACAAAAGAACTGGTTGAAGCTTCTCTGCCGAGAAGCTTTTTTGCTCCACCCACTTTTATTGGCTTAGTCAGACTGCTATTTACATGTAACTCTTATGTGTTCTTTACTGTTTTATTAAACATGCTAATGAAACACCACTTTGTAATTAAGTAAACCAAAACAAACAAAAAAAAAAAAAAAAAAAGTCCCACTTTTAAAATGTTTTTAAACCTATCATTATTGAATTTTAGGATATTTGTCATTTTGTAACAAGCCTTTAAATAGCATTGATAGGCATGAGGATGCAATTTCAAAGCAATTAGTTCTTTTGTACTGCTTAATATGGTGGGATAATTTAAGTGACAGTATTGAAATTGAAATTATTGGCAGATATCAAGTTAATAAATGATACTTTTATAATAAAAATGATAACATATGTAATATAGTGTTTTTTGTGGGGGGGATCCTCCAACAGGTAAATAATCAGAAACAAAAATGTGTGATCTTGCATTATCTTGTTGGAATATGGTGTTTGGCAGGCCTCGAAGATAGGACACAACCACTGGACATAAGATGTCAGAAATTTACTGATCTGTGTTCAAATTACCGTCAATCCGAACTAGAGATGTGTGTGTTGTGCACCCAATGGCTGCCCAAACCATCACACCAGGTGCAGGGCTCGTATGCTTATACTGAATGCAAGCAGGTGACATGCTGTCTCCTTGGAGCCTCCAGACATGTATACGACCATCAGAATACTGCACGAAGAACCGAGACTCATCTGAAAAGACAACTTTGTACGGAAATAATACACTGCTGACCATTAAAATTGCAACACCATGAAGGAAAGCAAATACAAAAAAAAAAAAAAAAAAAAAAAAAAAAAATATTGTACATAAACAGTATGGCATGAAGATAAAATGATTAAATTTGTAAGCAGTTTGGGGGTTTACAAGGGTGCAGAATCAGTAAAAACAGCTGCCACCCTTGGAATCTAAAATGGCCTTTACCTGGTTAGGCATGGAGTTGAACTGGACTTGGATGACAGAAACGGACAACTCATTCCGTGCTACTTCAAGTCTATGGCACACTTCATCAACCATATTAGCTGGAGAGGGTTGGCGGGACAGTCTCTCAGCAACCCATAACCAGATATTTTCAATAGGTGACATCTGGAGATGCTGCAGGGCTGGGCAGCAATCAAATACCCTGTGTATCGAGAAAAGTCAAAACACGATGTGCAACGTGTGATCTTGCATTATCTTTTTGGAATATGGTGTTTGCCAGGCCTCGAAGATAGGACACAACCACTGGACATAAGATGTCAGAAATGTACTGATCTGTGTTCAAATTACCGTCAATCCGAACTAGAGGTGTGTGTGTTGTGCACCCAATGGCTGCCCAAACCATCACACCAGGTACAGGGCTCATATGCCAATACCGAATGCAAGCAGGTGACGTGCGGTCTCCTTGGAGCCTCCAGACATGTATACGACCATCAGAATACTGGACAAAGAACCGAGATTCGTCTGAAAAGACGACTTTGTGCCACTCCTGTATCCCGTTTGGTGCGCTACAGTTGCCCTTGCAAACGCTAATTGTAACTCTCTCACTTTGCTTTGTGCTGTGTGGTGTTCGAAAGTTCAAATTGACGAATAAAGGTGAATCTACAGTCCACTCGCATTGATGTATTCTTAGGTTTATTAATTTAAATTTAAGATACCGCTACGCTACAATTACTTTTTATATAAAAATGATGCCTATGGAATCTTAAATTTTTATTTAATTATTGGTGTATTAATTTATTTTTTATGGGTGCATCAGTTCCTTTTGGACATCCAGTAGTCATTGTATCACATTAAAAAAATATTGTCAGGAATTTTATCAATTACCATTGTGATGAGGGAGTGAACGAGGGCAGATAAAAGAAAGTGTGGGATGAAAACTGAGTAGTATCAGGCTTCAAATTGGGACACAATGGCCTCTCTATTTGTTTCTTCTTAACTCCATGCTGCCTGCATATTTGAGAGTTAATATATATTTGTGCTTATATTTAATCACTATTTTGCTGATCAACTTCTTTTTAAAGAGTGATTTTTTAGGTCTTAAATAATTGTAATGTTGCTGAAGAGTCTGCAAAATGCTTAGTTTTTATCTTATTTATTAAATGAAGCATTATCCATGCCCCCCCGAAAAAAAATAATAAATAAAAATAAAAATATTTACATGTTGCAAAGTTACCAATGATTTTCATATTTTCCATATTTGCATGGATAATCAGAAAGTACCAGATAAAGTTAGTGGCATGAAAAGCATATGTGAATAGATTTATTAATATTATTGTATTCTGTATTTCAGAGAAGTACATGTGTAGCTTTCACTTCTGTTCTTGCTTCTGTTCTAGTGGGGAACTGTAAAATGTTATCAAACTTTATCTTATAAAATCAAAGTATGATTCAAATTAAATGTTTCGTACAAAAGTGGAAAATACAAATAATTGTGCATGAACAAAACGTTTTTTAAATTAGAAAAGTCTTTAAAAATAAAATTTGTAAAATACCTCATAAAGCGCTTGTGTACCTTATGAGGTATTGATGAGTAATTTTTTTTTCCCCCACATGTAACATGATCACTAGCCAGTTTTCCTTAGAAAGTCTTTCATCAAGATATCCCTTCACTTAGGCAGATAACCTTCATGTGCTCGGCCATATTAAAATAACTTAACCTTCTTTTATACCAGCTGAGCCTTCAAACAGGTTCTAAGCCTCATGATATTTTTCCATTAATGTTTTTACATGAGGTTTAGGATTAAATCTTCTTAAGGGTTTCTCATTTAAGGGGATTGTTGTTAAATCTGAAATATGTTGTACAGTCAAAGAAGATCCTGTTTTGGTAGCAGTATTCATTGAGTTTAATACTATTAGGACTTTCATCATGCACTTCAAGCCACATCAATGAAATCTTGAAAATTTTTTTTTTTCGAGTTCTAATATGGAATTGAAATTGTTTGTATCCTTTAATCTCCTTATGGGCATCAGCGTGTTTTTTCTTCCATGTCCCTATATAAAAAACTGTTACAATTTTCTTTAATTCTTCAATGTTGAACTTTACACCATTTTCATTCTAATTTTATAATTACTTTGCTGCCATAATTTTTGTTATAAATCATTGGGAGGTACTTCAGCATTTTTCTCATGGTAAATTGTGAAATTTATGCTTGCTTTCAATCTTTAATCTTTCATATTCCTTTGATTTTAACATAGTTAATTTATTTGTTTTAAACAAACAAAAATAATGAGTTTACAAAGCAAATATAAAAAGGGGCTTGTGCAAACTTCCTACTGCATATGCCTAATACTGTGTTTTTCCTTACCCTTTGTGTTGTTGTCATAAATCAGAAGTTTTTAAATTAATGCGTAAAAAAATTAAGGGAAAAGGTATGCAAGTAGATATAGTATATGTCTGTTCAAGAGAACTTGTGAAAAGTATATGCATCCATAACTAGTGCAAGAATATATTCCTGAGTAGAAGAAATTATGAAGTTATGAATCTATTCTCTCAGCAAAGTTTTGTGCATGCTGCTTTTTCATCGTGTTTAATGTCTTTGTTGAAATTTAAATTCTTCATTAACACAAATGACATATTCTCACTGGAAACTAGTTGCATTCTTTTATAAATACCAAGTTTTCTGTGGGGACAGTTTTTATCAAAAAGGTAATTGAATTTCCATTAGGAGAATGTGACATAAAACTGGTTAATCTGAATTCTTTTGACTTCTAGGTATTCCCCTCTCCTCCCATCTCAGATTTAAATTGAATTTAAAGATGTCATGGTGTATTCAATAAATGTCTTTCACTGACATCCAACATATAAGGCTGCATAATGGATAGTTCTAGAACTATCCTAGTTTGATATTCCTTTGCACAAATTGTTGATTTAGTGATTTAATGACATTTTGTATTGCTCTATGTTGATTAAGTGACATTTTAAATTTCTGTAGTGTTGATTTAATGACATTTTAAATTGCTGTATGTTGATTTGATGGTAGTTTTAATTTCCATAGTGTTCAAGTGCATGGAGGAAATGTGAATTTGTTACATGTATTGTTTCAGTACTTGTGTATAATTTTCACTCACTCAGTTTGTATATTCAGTAGAGCTATTAGAACAAATTTGATGCACTTAAGCGTATTTATGTACTGTCCATTATCAGCCTTTTATAAATTTGTATTTGTATTAAATTACAGATGTTTGAATTTTTTGTAATTGAATAAGCGTATTAGGTCATGAAGTTTTTAAAATTAACATTACTAAAGTTCCAGATATTATCAGGAATTTTGACGCTGATATTTTCTTTGTTAATTATTGTTTGTATTAGTTATTAAATGTAATATTGTATGTTGATTTCTTTACAAATCTAAATTTTTATTTTTTTCTCTTTTCCATGTAATACTGTTGCTTAGAAGAAAAAGAGGTGAGTGCTAGTCTAATCTTGTATGTTTTTTAGTTTTAAAATATAGAGGAAAGTCAGTTTTTATATGCTTTTGAATAATTATTTCAATTTAAAATTTTTGTTTTTTGTTTTCCATGTTGTGGGAAAGCAAATGAAATGTGCATATCTAAAATTACGTATACTAACACTGTTTTACTAAAGATTTCTTAAAATTCATAACAGTACTTGTTGGTTAATCAGTACCTTCTTATACATCAGTAAAAATATTGCCCATGACATTGCTTGTTACGAGGATTTGGAAATGACAGAAGCTGCTTGGGGATATCCTTTTCTAATTTTTTTTGTTTGGGAGAGGGCTAAAGAGAGTAATAATGTATTCTCCCCTTTTTTTTTAAATTTTTAATGTCAGTTTCAATTCTAAGACCGATATTCACATGTAAACAATGAAATGCATGTAGGGGATGAGCAGAATGGAGGAGAAAGTAGCAATATGGGTATAACTTGTTATCACTTCTTACGTATCTGAGTTCATATGAAAGTATAGAACTTTTCTCTGTAATTTTTTTCTGCTTATTTTATTCGATGCAGTTCTGAAGGCAGCTGCCAAGCAATCAGAAATAATATTTAAAAAAAAAAAAAAAAAAAAAAAAAAAAAATTTGGAGTTAATTGTCAAAAGGCAAAAATTGATTGTTTATGGTGTATTGGCGGGTACCAGATAAATAACAAACACTTTCATGATTCCTGTCATGGGTTTATTTCTCTTATTCTACAACCAAAGATTAAAAAGTATACATTTTATTTATATGTGAATCCTCAAATTGGCCAGACTATATCTAGATGTAAACATCCAAGAATATTTTTACTGATACTTTTAAATAATTATGTATACATGTATCTTGAAATATGTTCACAGTGTTAAAGCTGTTCAGATGAAAAATTTTCCAGCTGTGGAAAGCAAGAAAGTTTTTAAATCATAAACAAAAAATACCTTTTTTTCATTGCATTTTATGAAAATTCGGCCTTTTTTAGAACCAAACATTTGGATGATTGTAAGGTTACCATTTCATTCATTGTTACAGAACTCAGTTCAATGAAGTTTGCAAATATAAATGTATGTAATAAATTTGTATTTATAAATTATAAATAATGCATGTAAATATTTCAAATGAGTTTTCTTTAAACATTAAGAAAAATCTCTAAACTACCAAGGCTACTATTTTCACAAGTTGATTTTAAGTCATGATTTCTGTACTGATGTTCACTGTAGACCCATTGTATGTTGTGTGAAATAATTAACCTCAACTACCATTAAGTGATTTTTGCTGAACAGTAACATGTTTTGTTTATCAGCTTTGTCGTAAATAAATTGTTAAAAGTGGAAGTTGCTTCAGGTCCTTCATGAGATCCTACTTTGGCTACATCGTATCTATCATGTGGTTTAATCTTGATCACTTTATAAGGTCCTAAGAATTTAGGTCTTAGCTTGAGACCTCCTCCTAACTGGGTTCTTTTAATGGCTACTAGGTCGTTGACTTTGTAGAGTGGAGCGGTTCTACGACGTCGATTGTATTGTCGTCGGTTCTCTTCCTGCAGTTTTAAGATATTCGCTTTAGCCTCTTCACGAGTAGACTCTTTCTCCTGGATGGTGGAGTTCAGGAATTCTTCATCGAGAATTTCTTTAAGTCTTTGTTCTCCTTGTTTCATTCACGCCTGTCATCAGCTTGAAAGTGAAATTTCGTTGATCTACTGACTGTACTGTTGATGATTCTTTGGATTGTCAGGCACAAATTTGAACCATTTGGCAGCAATCATCTACTGACAGTTTTGCAAGCACTGGAAATGGGTTTCCGTGAATTCTTTCGATCTGGCCGTTGGCTCTTGGAACGCACTGGTTGTGATTTTTAATTATGTGTTGAATTCCTTCATCTTTACAGTATTCCTCAAAGTCCTTTGAAGTGTGAAAGCAGAAAGTGAAAGCAGATCCCTTGTCAGAGATAATTCTTGAACGATTTTTCCGAAGACAGCTTGTTGGATTTTAGTTTCTGTACAGCTTTGCTGTTGATGTTGTCTTGACTGGGTAAAACCAGACAAATTTTGTAAAAGCATCTACAACCTGTAAATATATGTCGGTATCTCTTATCTGTAGATGTCAGGGGGTCCTACAAAATCTATGTGAATGTGCTTAATGGAATATTTGTCCTTTGGGATTGGGTTCAATAGACCTTCTGCTTTGCCTCGCTTTTTATTACAGAGGATGCACTCGACACAGTTCATTATAACATGCTCTATTTTCTTTAGCATTCGAAATATGAAATTCTCTTTTCAACAGATCTCTGTCTTTTTTACAGCAAAGCAAGTGTCCTTTGTTATGTATGCCAGGGATGATCTCGAATTCCATCGCTTCCGGCACAACGATGAGTTCTCGACCTCTCTCCTGCAGATACAACACATTATCTTTTAGCAGATACTCATCCCAAGTCCTTTCTCGACCAGAGTTTTCAATAATTGAAGACGCTCATCAGCCTGTTGCGCTTTGCGATCTAGTAGTGATTTCACTTTGCGACGAGTGACCATGCACACAGCATGCCTACTTAAGCATCGACATGTCTCATCTGTTGATCGGGTCTGTGGATAACTTCATATTCGAACTCTTCGAGTAGCAGTGCCCATTAGCTATCTTTGGTGTCAGATCTTTTTCTGCATTGTCTTTGAAATGCATCGCAGTCTGTAACTATTTTGATTTTTGTGCTAAGAGATAACTTCGAATTTTTTCAAGGCTTCGATGATCGCTAGCAATTCGAGTTCATAACTTGACATTTTTTCTTGTTGAGGTGATGTTTTCTTGCTCATGTAATGGATGGATGCAGCTGTCCATCATCTGAGCGTTGAAAGCAAAATTGCACAAAAACATGACTACTACTAGCATCCATGTGTAATTCCAAAGGTTTTCCCTGCTGAAAGATGTTAAGTACAGGACTTTGCTTAAAAGTTCTTTGTGAGGTGGTCAAATGCCTGCTGCTGTCTTGGCCCAAATTCAAAATTCTACCAAATTGCGAAGCATATCACTCAATGGTTTGGCTATTTTGAAAACCAGGTAAAAATTTTCTAAAATAGCCTGCGAGACCTAGGAAGCTTGCAATTGCTTAACATTCTTAGGTTGAGGAAAAATTTTAACTGCAAGGGTCTTATTTGGAGATGGACGAATTGTACCTTTCTTCAATTAAATAACCGAAAAAATTTTTTCTTTTAAGGAATTGACATTTTTTAAAGTTAATTTAAGTCCATATTCTGAGCTACTTTAAAACTCGTTTTACGTTTTTCTAATCCCTCTTTTTCATCACGGGAGGTATGATAAAATCATCCATGTAAATTACAACTGTATTATCCCTTATTAATTCCCTGAATACATTATAGATAAATCTTAAAAATACACTAGGACTTGTGGTCAAACCAAATGGTGCTCTTAAAATTCAAATAACCTGCATGTGATGCTAAATATTTGGTACATCCTGCATCGGCTGGTGGTGGAACAAAAAAACCATTTTTTCAAATCCAAGTTGAAAAAACTTTCGTTCCCCAAATGATCAAGTACTTCTCTACCTGGGCCATGGGAAAACTTTTTACTACTATTTAACTGTCTGAAGTCTACGGCATAATCTATGTGTTTTTATTACGTTTCTTACATAACAGAATTGGAGATGCGTTTTCGAACAAGATGGTTTAATTATCCCCTTTTGACAACCACTTGTCTATTCTTTATCAACAATTTTTTGCTCAGCAAACAAAATCTCGAGACTGTTGCGATTACTGAAATATCATTTTTAACACCAATATTATTTTAAATCCGTTCTTTATTTTTATTTGGTTTATTATTATAAATCAATGACGATAAATCCTACGAGTTGACATCAGAATGCAAGAAATCCACCTCACATTCGTCAACACATTTGTAAATTAATAAAAAACTTGGATTGATGATTCATTTTAAAATCTTTTCGGTAGCAGGATTAGATGTTTCATTTTCTTCCCGACTATTAAACGTTTGAGAATAAATGTTTGGGTAAAATTAAGGAAGGGATCTTTTTTTTTTTTTTTTTTTTTTTTTTTTTTTTTTTTTTTTTTTTTTTTTTTTTTTTTCAAAATGAGCAAAGTATTATTTTAACCTCACGGGTTTTTTTTTTAATGAATGATGAATTATGACCGGGAACTTGAGCGCCTGAATGAAGGATTTTATTTTTTACTAGAAAAATCAGCAATTGCAACCGTGAATAAAACTGACGTTTAACACTGTTTTGTTTTTCTTCGTTTCCTTAGCTTCACTTGTTTACGTTTACGCATCCCTCCGAAATGAAAATTTCACACCCCTTCCCCGCAGACGTAACATGATCTCTCTGGCGTCGATGAAATGACATCATGTTATTTTTTATGTTTGCACGACGGAATGAATCATTCTTAAACTTTTGGTTTTGAACACTTGGTACTTTCGATTCAATTAGGACTGAACTTTAGGGTTATGTATTCAGACAATGATTTCCTCGGGATGGAAAATATAAATCACATTCTCGCGCCTAAATGGTTGGATTTAAACCATGTTTGCCCTGCGAACACCTATGTATTCTTTCATTTGAAATCTAAGTTTCATACAATTTGTCTGCAACAATTAAATCAAATAACTTTCTAAATCCTTTGTCTCCCAACCTGACAGAGTATTCAAATGTTGTGTCAATCGCGATGCAAATGAACATGCGACATTTGCTGGCTCGTTGAGATGTTTAAGGGGCCTCTCTGGTGTGGCTGAAATTCAGCTAAAACAAATCTGTTTAGTTTTCGTAATTCGACAATTCTTTCAGTTGCATATGTTAAATTAATTTGCTTAACCCCTAGCAAATTAATTAGTATCTCAGCTTGTAAGTCTTTGGGAACTCTTTGGTGGCAAAAGCTTTTTCCAGTGAAATGAAAAACAAATGCATTTGCCTTGGCCGCTCAGGAACAGGATGGTAAGTGTTTTAACGCTTTCAGT